ATGGCTTTATAGCCGTTTTCCGCCGTCGTCCGCGCGTCGAGTCGATCGTTCGACAAAAGTCAGGAGCTACTGTGAGCCGAGCTGCCACAGCTAAACCGGAATAATAATAGATAAATGCGACGTCGATGTATTAAATGGCACGAGAACGATTGAACAAATTTACGCGTCTTGGCTTTTTTTTCTTCTTCGGCTTAAATTTGACACTTATACGAGTACAATATGGTAAGGGTCTGCGAGAATCGAGATTCTCGCGAGAAATCTCGTCGAGACGAGAATTAGGAATTTCTCGTCTCGCTACTCGAGAATCTCGAGAAGTCGAGAAATGATGCGAGAACCCAATTGACAATGTATAATAATAACTCTACATTCAAATTAAGCATTTTTCCGAATATTATTCACTTTCATAATGTTCGGAATACATTATATTCATTTTATCCTAAGTGTCACAGCACCGCTATCGAACGGCATTCGTAAGCGAAATTGCTTAATCTTTAACTCGCAGCAAAATTTCTGAAACGCACTTAAAAAAAATTTGTAATATATTATCGATAGAAAATTTTCTCATCTTTCTGTCAGTATGCTCAGATTTTCCGGAAAATTCATTTTTGTCAGGAAAATTTCAAAACCAAACTTTCAAAATTAAGTATCTTAAAAACGGCTTTTTTAAGGTTTTTTTAAATAGTCTAGATCAAAAACTGAGAATATTTTCTATCGAAACACGTGTTTTCCGAAGAGAAAATTTTATATTTACTAAATTAATTAGAGTGATGAACGTGAAAAAATGCGAGATTCTACTACGCGGGTACTACGCTTTGGATCAGCGTGGTTCCTATATATAACATGTGAAAATGTACTAACCATGCATCTGGGGCCCAGGCTGACCCTTGCATACCTCGTCTACTGGAGTTTTACGGGAATATTAAACATATTTCGTTGAAACTTGTTACTTCGGGGTTTTTGGGGTCGCTGGAAACGAATATCACAACGAAAATGTACCACCATGTACCTGGGGCCCAGGGCGGGCCCTATATGGAGCAAATTTCCTGAAGTGTCCTAGCGCTCTGACGCGCGGCATTTTTTGGCCAAATCACTAAATTTCTAACTCGCTGTAAAAGTATCAAAACGTACCTCAAAAAATTACTAACTAATAGATTCAATAGTAAATTTTCTCAGCTTTTCGATGGTGACATTAGATTTTCAAAAATTTTCCATTTTCACCCGGAAAATCGTCATCAAACATTCAGAGCTCAATATCTCGAAAAATACCACTTTTTTGCTTTCTTTTGTTCCAATCGAAAGATGAGGTCTTTTTACATCGGGTATGGTAGTTTTCAGAGTGTATTTTTGATGAAAACTAAGGAAAATACGGAAGGTTTTAGTTAGCGCTCGGCCGCTCGCCGCGGTTTCCAGCCGTGCGCGGCTCGTTGTAACTTGTAACTCGCTCGTATGACATTGGAAAAATAAATAAACATGTGATTTTGATAGGAAATTTTTTCAGCTTTCTTATGGTGTAGTCGGATTTTCCGATAATTTTCATTATCACCAGAAAAAGTGTACTTGAAGGTCTATTTTCTTCCTTTTCCGGCGAAAATGAAAATTATCGGAAAATCCGACTACACCATGAGAAAGCTGAGAAAATTTTCTATCAAATTAACATGTTTATTTATTTTTCCATTGTTATACGAGCGAGTTACAAGTTACAGTGAGCCGCGCAAGGCTGGAAATCGCGGCGAGCGGCCGAGCGCTAACTAAAACCTTCCGTATTTTCCTTAGTTTTCATCAAAAATACACTCTAAAAACTACCATACCCGATGTAAAAAGACCTCATCTTTCGATTGGAATAAAAAAAGCAAAAAAGTGGCGTTTTTCGAGATATTGAGCTCTAAATGTTTGATGACGATTTTCCGGGTGAAAATGGAAAATTTTTGAAAATCTAATGTCACCATCGAAAAGCTGAGGAAATTTACCATAGAATCAATTAAATAGTTATTTTTTTAGGTACGTTTTGATACTTTTACAGCGAGTTAGAAATTGAGTGATTTGGCCAAAAAATGCCGCGCGTCAGAGCGCTAGGACACTTCAGGAAATTTGCCCCATATAGGGCCCGCACTGGGCCCCAGGTACATGGTAGTACATTTTCGTTGTGATATTCGTTTTCAGCGACCCTAAAAACCCCCGAGTGCAGAAATTAGACTCATTTTTACCGATATTTAGCGAAATACACATATTGACCAATTCGTGAGTTCAAGATGCATCCCTGAAATGCGTTTATTTCACCCACAGGGTGCAAATTTTCATTTGTCCCTCATAAGTTTTGTTCACAAAATTCCTAGACGCTCTCCCGAATCGAATGCCGAAGACCGCATCTTAATTGGACTTACTGTTCAAAAGATCGGAGATTTGGCCGTTTTTAATGCTTTATTTTCTCAGCTATATCGAAACATATTGAGCAACAAGCTTATTGTAAAGAAAATTTTAAACTTATTTAATTATTCATATAATTAATTATTCATTTGTTTTACCATTAATTTGATGTATTATTAATTATAATTAATTATTTTAATATATTTTATCAAATAAAGTTATAGAAACTAGAAAAAATCAAATTTCCCGACTTCTCGTAATATTTCTCGACTTCTCGTATCATTTCTCGACTTCTCGTGTCATTTCTCGACTTCTCGTATCATTTCTCGATACGTCGAGATTCTCGGCAGTCGAGACGAGAACTAAAATTTCTCGTCTCGTCTCGTCTCGAATGCATGTTCGCAGACCCTTACAATATGGTCGTTAGCAGTAGTCGATTGAGTTGAAATGACGGGGGGTCAAAATGTAATTCATCGTTTTGATTGGACTTACGAAAACAGTACGCTGGATTTTTGAGTCTTTATTGTACCCGAGTTCTGAATAATTAGTGTAAGGCGTACTAGGTGGATCGTATTACATTACACTCGGATCGAACTCAAATTTTCTATTCAATTCATTGTTATATGGGTCACGCTGCTGTGTCAGTTCAATGAGGTGTTAATGCATCTATCACCTACGTCACATCCGTAAAGAATTGGATCAATTGATTGATCGATTACTCGTCGCCAGATGCCATTTGAATGAAAAATTAATTACTACAATTCGTAAAAAAAAATAATTATAATCATAATGGTTTTAATTATTTTTTCTTCAAAATGCTTAATCGAGCGCGAGGCTCGCGAGCTGTATGTAATATATATATCGAAGCGAGCCCAAGAGGCAAGGATAAAAAAAAAAAAAGAAATTGCAACAGCACGCGGAGAACATGTTATTGTCTATATACTGCGCTCGGCGCGCATACACACACACACTCGCAAACACATGCACTCTCTCATATGAACGTACATCCAAGTCGAAGGCAATACTAAGGTTCGCTTTTTCTATGCGCGCCAAAGATGTTCCCGCTCGTGCTTGTATATACTATATAGCAGCAGTAGAAAACTTTCACTGGCGTGCGCGCGGCTAGGCGCTCCGCTGTATATACGTGCGTGTGCATGTTTGTAAACTACGTACACATAAAAATAAATACACAAATGTACAATTATTATACGTAGGTGCTTGTTAATATTTTTTTCTTTTTTTCTTTCTTTTCTTTTTAGTGGCACTCGTATTACGAAGCCTCGAGTCGCGCGTCTCAATCTTAAGGCGTTTCGAATCCAGATGTCGAATTAATTAGATACAGTTCTATGATTTATGATCACGGAATTTTGGATGATCGGGTTAATAGGAAACAATAGGCGTTTTGAGATTCATTCGACACCAGCTTGATTCTTCGGAAAAGACATCGGGGTATCTGTTACTGAAGAGGTCTTATTACCTAATTTTGATCATACAAAAGAACTCCAGATGGCTTTTCAGATTTCCGTTATTTCTGGTCTTTTCTTTCATCAAACACATGATTAATCAAAACCAATAATTCGAAATACATGCAGGTTAAGTTTTCCCGTCGTGAATTAAAAAAAAAAATTAAGAATACCAAGGGGGGGTAGGGTCTTGTTCGATGGTTTTCGAACTGCATTTTAAAATTTTTTTTTGAGCACATAGTAAAATGAATTTATCTATAAATTATATACATTATAAATAATCATTTGAAGAACTTTTGGTTAAATTTTCAGCTCAAAATAGCGGAAATGAGCTAACTACACCAAATCTTCTCACACAGCTGGAAAAAATGATTGATTGCGGTGAACCCTGCAACTGAAAATCTACTCGACTGATTCTTTCCAAATTTTTCTCACTATTAATCTACATAAATTATGAGGTAATAACGTCGAGATATTTCGTTTAAAATGATTTTTGAGTTTTTGGCCTCATTTTGAAATGAAAAAAATGACTTTTTTGACAAAATGAAGGCAAAAATTCATCGTAATTGTTCGTAAAAAGCATTTAAAAATGAAAAAAGTTAAATTATCTCGACGTTATTACCTCATATATGAGTACATATATATATATCATCTACTTAAATAGGGTATAAAATATGAAGTGGATCGGTCGAATATATTTTAAGTGATGGTGTCCACCGGATTTTTTTTACGTTGCATGTGAAAATTTGCCGTAGCCAACTTATTTTTCAGTATTTTGGGCTGAAAATTCATCTGAATATTCTTCAAATAACTATTAATTATGTAAATGATTTATAGATCAATAAAATCAATAAAATTTTTTTTTTGAAATTTAGTCAAGACTCTACCCCCCCGTAAATTCATGTATGATTATCAAATTTTCAGACACCGACGCAGGCGTGTTCTTTAACAAGAAATAAATTTGAATAAATAAACTTTTGGAAAATGTAATAATGAAGAAGATTTGTAAATTGATGAGTAAACTCAAAATTTTAGTTTATCCACGAATCTTCGTATTTGTTGTTACGAATCGAAAACTAATCATAGCAGTAATCAAAACAAACAGCTGGAGTTTAGTTTAAAACTACGATAATTCGTTAAGCTAGCTTGTAAAATTGTTTGTAAAAATATTACCTTAATAACGTTGAAGACGAAGCGTTGCCCTCCGCTGCGGTGAGGCTCGATCAAAGGCTAAATATATCGCTAAAAGGAGCACTTGTCGCGGTTTCTTTCGCCGGTCTGCTCGATTCGAAGTATATTTACACCGATCACACCATAACAGCACTCTTGAACGACGTAGGCACAATGTATTAAGAATTACCGTGCACGGACACACTTTATTTTATACACCCAATTATATGCACCTCACCCACTCGATCGTAGCACAGGAAAAAAAAATTAATACCCCGTAAAAAAAAAGTACCGCGTCGCGTGCGTGCGTGTATGTGTGTAGCTGGCTCGAGTCACGATAGCCGACTAATTGATCGAGGGGCCCACTCGTGGTCCACTACTGTCCGTGTACACCGATTCGGCTGTTCGTTGTCTTGCTGCTGGCTATACCCGTATTACACATGCGTAAGACGAAGAAGTCGTGCAGCAGCGAGCTGCGGACGTCAGGTGGCGCTGCGGCGTAGGCTATCTCAAGACGATCCTGATGGTGCTACTACTTGCGCACACAGATGTGTAATGAGAATTTATGCGCGCACTGTAACTGCTCCAAATCAAATGACCGATGGCTCGAATGGATAATGAGATGAAGCTGCGGAGCACACACACACACACACACAGGCACGGTAAGCGCATGTGCAGGATGGTCCAGCAGCAGCGATCGGCGCGGCTCGAGATCGTTTCGTTCGATCGTAGCGCACCCGTCGATGGACGTCGGCCTCGCAGCTGCTGCTACTGCCCAATGAGTTGCCGATCCTGTGCAGACTCCTCGTAGCTTGACTTGGGTCGCTTCGCGCACAATTCCTACCTGTCGCGCGGAGTCATCCGTGTGGGAGCCCTTGCAGGCAGATCGATCGACAGGCCGATCGGGCGCCGCGCGTCCAGATGGTAGCGATTTTTTAATGGTCTGCTATGTTATTGTTGTTGTCGTTCGCTCCTCTCGCGGTGGCGGCGGCTGTCTCGTGCGTCGCCACGTTCGCATCGAGAATAAAGTAAGTCCTGCCACTGTCCTTATTGCACTGTGCAGCGTCGATATACGTGTGTGTAGCCAAGAGTCGAGTATGTATGCGTGTATGTGTGCAGCTGAGCAGGCCGCTAACACACACACACAGGCACATGCACAGAGGAACGCGGAGTCGAGGCACCGCTCGGTTTTTTGACCGAGTCCGAGTCCACAAGTTGGGCACACGATTCACACGCACACACACACACGACACCGGGATACACAAACACACACACACACACACTATAAGAATTACGTTGGCGTTGAACACACACACAGACACAGGCACACACACACACACGGATGACAGAGGAGCCGTGCGCGCGTGGAGAAGAACCGTTATTGCCGAGCACTGCACGGACGGACGCGCCGAAGCGCCTCTCTGTGTGTATGTGTACTGCTGCTGCTGCTGCTGCTGCTGCTGCTCCGATCGGTAAACGATTTTGCAGCTGCGCGCAAATCTCGGCACTCGTATTACTTCGACTTCACAACTTCAACTTTTGCACGACTGCTTGCACATTGGCAGCAGGTAGTAGTAGTAGTAGTACTGGTAGCACTCGTCGCGCAGCCAATGTCGACCGCACGCACACACGCGGACGCGACAGATATCCGCGCACTTTGTTGTGATTTTTTTTTTGCTTCTCTCTCGTCGTTGCTATCGGTCGATCTGTCGAGAGAGAGCAGAATGCAGCTCCGTATACGCAGTGCGTGCAGTGCAGCTGCGATATATCTCGCGTATACAAGAAAGAGAGTGAGAGAGAGAGAGAAAGAGGGATAGATAGATACAGAGAGAGACAGAGAGGGAGAGTAAGGCCCGCACGGAGAACAAAGTCCTCGGACTAAGTCTTCGGCTGGCGCTGCAAGGCTGTACTGCGCCTGGTTGGGCCCGCGAGCGCGCACTATGGCAGCGCAGCGCCAGCAGAATCCTCCGGAGCTATAGAGGCCTGGCTGCAGCAGTACCTGCGCGCGTGTATCTGTGTGTGTGTATATACGAGTCGCTGCACTCACCTACACGAATGCACAAGTACGTATATACATGCGTACCTCTTTCGAGGTGGTGGTAAATTCTCTCTCTCTTTCTCGCGAGCGATCCTCGCGCGGATGTATGTGTGCGTGCCTGTATATATTCACCTCGCTCCTTTTCGGTCTACAGTTTCGCGCAAGGTATATATATAATACAACGTATCCCTCCTCGCTCGCGAGCGCGAGTATACTTCTCGGTGTCTCTCTTCCCTCTCTCTCTCTCTCGCGGGCCCCTGAGCCACCTCCTTTACTACCTCCTCTATAGCGACTTTACCATACACTCTCGGTGTGTGCGTATATTTTCATTCCTCCTCTTGACCAGGTGAGTAAGAGAGGAGAGCGAGAGCGAGAGAGAGATGGAGGACAACGCACATGCTTGCAGGTAGACGAACCCTGCACACACACACACATACACGCATACGTAGAACATCTGTACGAGTAAACACGCACACTTGCTCGCGCGACATGTGTGCGTGGATCGCATGTATATCTCGCGAGCTATCGTCATCATGCACCTAAGCAACGCACGCAGGCTTGGAAGAGATACAGAACCATTCATAAAGATCTATATCTCACGACGTTGACCGGAAACTCTCTTACGTCCAATTGACCTGGAAATATTTGATGGATCGAGTCTGCATTACCCGTTCAGAAAATACCGAATTAACACATGTGGCCATATCGATGAAAATTTTCATCTGTTATTCGATCGTTTGGTTTTACTATTACGACGTCGATTAAGTATACTTCTTAAAACTCCGAATACAATCGAATTCTCGTAATAAGATTTGTACGTGACGCGATCGAATATAATTTGATTTTCATTAATATCGCCTTCCTAACCCGAATTCCTCGCGTTATAAATTAAATGCATAATACACCCTCGTACGCTTGACCGCGTCACACATTTATGTATACGAATAAAACAGACGCACGATAAAAACCGTAAGGCACACAGCACACGGGCGATGCTGTGTACAGTATACGGTATAATATCGGTACACGAGGCCCCAAAGAAGTATACACAGACACACATTATAAGAGGGAGGCTTCGTTCATCTGATTAGTCACTTGTTCCGTTTGTAAATGCGCATGACTTTCTCTCATTGTCTGCGCGAGCTGATGCAGTCTCTGCTCTGACTGTAATGCAGCGAGCGAGCGGCGGCGGGGGAAGCACACGAGGTGCGCTTTAAAGATCGCGCGTGGTTCTTCTCACGCTTCGCGTACGCCGCGGCGTCGGCGGCGTCGGCGTTGGTGCACCCACTGCTGCAGTCCACACACGATCCTGATACCGACCTATACACACACATACTCGTTTCTCTCAAAATCATCCGTGTGAGTTGCTGTGTGTGTTTGTATATCTAGGCCGGCCGCTATACGTCCATGCGCGGCTCATATTGTTGCTTGTATTTACCATGATGCCGCGAAGCGAACACACACTGGCCAACTCGGCCAAGTGCCTCGCCATATAATACACACCAAGCGCATAATGGCCTTTTGGTGTATTTTCACAGCTATACGATCGCCGATGAAAAGCTCGTATAACTATCGTCTTACTCGTCTCGAATCTCTGTCTTTTATTCGACTTTTGTTTACCGATAATCAAATCAAATATCCTCAAAAAAGACGTAACAGAAGCTGCAACAAGAACCAAGTTAGTTGGACGAGCCACGAGACTAGCCGAAAATTTGATTCCGGCTGGCGTGTCAGCTCGTCTCACCTACACCCATAAAATAGCTGCACAGATGAGGTGTTTAGTCATGTCTTTCATTCGACTTTTGTTTATCGATAATCAAATCAAATATCCTCAAAAAAGCCGTAACAGAAGCTGCAACAAGAACCAAGGTGTTGGACGAGCCACGAGACTAGCCGAAAATTTGATTCCGGCTGGCGTGTCAGCTCATCTCACCTACACCCATAAAATAGCCGCACAGATGAGGTGTTTAGTTTTACGTTCATTGTGATATCTAATACCGCCTGTCATCCGAACGTATCATCTTTAGAATTAAAAAAAAAAAAGCAGTAACAATAATAATCAAAATAATTAGTCGTACTCGTATGGAATCGTGCTATTATGAGAGCTCATTGCATTATACATCCAAAGGCAGCAATAGAAGCGAGCGCGCGCGCATGAGATCGCGAGAGAGCCACGATCATCGTCCCTCAAAGTTTATTAAACTTTTCGATAATCACGATCTAACGGTTCTGCTTCCATCTTCTCTCTTTTCAGCTCTTACGCATGTATAGATGCTGCAGAAAGAGGGAGAGAGAGAGACGGTATACAAAGGCTCGACGCAGCGCAGACGTAGACTCGAACGCGCGCATAGCTTTGCGTGTACGTGTTTTACGCGTGTACTACTCTGCGCGGTCTGATGCAACAAATTAGTCTCTCTCTCTCTTTGCACATGTATAAATCTCTTCTCTCTCTCTCTCTCGAGGTAACTGCATGCACTTCTCAGTCTATATATATTAGATATACAAGCGCGCGCATCCGAACGAAGCTCGCTCGGGATGGCTAATTTCTCGGCGATAGGTCAACGATAAGAATGTATAATCGGTATATCCGAGTCCTTACTATAGCCGCGACCGCAAAAGCTCGCCGCGATATATGCCGCGAGACGCATCGAAATGTATAATGTACAACATTTATACGAAAGGATCCTTTATTGTGTTGCCTCGCCGCGCGCTCGAATTTCGAATCGACGGGGCGCGCGCGAAAAATCTTGTGAAACCTTTTAGCGATCCGAGAGAGGTGCGCGCGAGTATGCATTACACCGATATAATACCTTTATATATTTTACACGTATTGCTTCTTCATAATACTTGGCCCGCGTCGATTCGAAGTCTTACAAAATTTCGCGATTATAAATGTATACGTGCTATAATATACAGACCCCGACGACGACGGCGTCGAGCGAGGATCGACGAGCTACTCGAGTAATATATATATTTTACCGTCTCCGAAAGCGAAGCACAAGTATTCTCCCTCTTTCTCTCTCTGGTAACAGCATAATCATGTGAAGTTTGCTCGTCGTGTGGTGGCTGCTGCTGCTGCACAGCGCACAATAGGTAGCTCCTCCGCTCGTGTTATATGCGCGGGCTATATGCATTCGATACGCGCTGTACATAATTTTCCTTTTCCAACGGCGCGCGCTGCTGAAAATCCATCGAAATTATTACAAGTTAGCTGAGCGCGTGTTTTTGCCTATGTACGACACGAGGTATACGTGGTTTATCTGCCTCGCGAGCCTCTACATATAATATATATTGGGTTACAGGGGCTGCATATGTGCAGCTACAGACGTGTACTCGGGGAAATGTATATATGTATA